TGTGGAGCCCGGCCTGGCGCGGTTCCCGCCCGGAGCAGGAGCGGGAGCGGAGCGGTCCTGGCGCTCCCCCTTGCGGGCCCGCCCGCGCCTCAGCGCCCGCTCCCTGCTCCGGGAATCCCGGGAATCCAGGGATCGTTTGTCCCGGCGGGAAGCAGAGCCGGTTTATCACGGAAGTTAAAATATCGCCTTGTTAGTTTATTTTTTTATTATTATCATCACTGTTGGATTCGGCTCTTAACGAGCTTTTGACCGCCAGCCCTCCTTCTCACTCAGCTTCCCGGAGGGAAAAGGGCAGGAATTAAAGCTCCGCTTTAATCGAAGAGTGAGAAAAGAGAAAACCATTTAAAAATTGGTTTTCTTGTGGTAGAGAATCCAGGTAGGAGCTAAGTGTGTGTGTGGCTGTCAGCAGCATCCTCGTTGTCAAACTAATGCGAGGGGAAGTTTGATAACCCCCAGGTAAAAGCCCTTTGATTTTGATTTTAAATTCCAATAAAATTTTAGAGGTCTTGTTTGAGGCAGGATTGTTTGCGGGATATGACATCTCTGTCTCTACTTTCTGTCTTAATGCCTTGTCATAGTTCTTGATGTCTGCCTGTCAGCACAGCGAGAGGGATTTTTTCATGTCTGAATAGTCACCTTAATGATAGCAGATGGAAACGCCACGGGGGGCCCGAGCCCATCACACTGTCATTGTCACAGGCTGCCCTGACCTGCTTCCACTCCTCTATTTTTTTGTCCCTTTTTAAAGGAGAAATGGATGGTAATTGAAAAGGATCTTAAGCGAGACTTAGGAAGCTGCAGACAACACGATTCCCCGCTCTCTCTCTCTGTTTTCACAAATAAAGTCTTAACCTCTTAAGCACCAATAAGAGTAGAAAGCAAGCTAAATTGGTAAAGCTTTATAAAGATTGGCCTACTAAAGCTTTTTCCTTTCCCTCCTTGGGATAAATCCAAGCTGTGCTACAAACTTATCATGGTTTATTTCCTTCAATATATCTTTGATTTGCACTGATTTATCGATTTCCTAAGGACATGTATATAGGCACTATCAATTCTTTGCTGTGCTATATGTCTTGGTCATGCATATTGACAAGAAACTTCTAGGCTCATGTCTAAAACTCTAGTTGTGAAAACTCACAAATTCAGTGTTTTTTTCTGTATTATTTTAAGATTATTTTTTATTAGGATTCTAGAATCTAATGTGTTAAATTGCAATCAGTGAGAAATTAGGTTTTGGTTTTAGTAATAATTTTTAGCTTAAAAAAAGCCTTAAAATCATTACAACTTAAAAAAAGTGATATGTCAATGGAATAGTCAAAGAAAATTTTAGCTGTGTACAAACTTCTGTCTAATATCACCTGATACTAAAATACCCTTCATATCTCTAGAGGAAAAGTTACAAGCTCTCACTTTTACTGGGTCACAAATAAACTTCAGAAAGCCAGGACTGTGATGTTTTACAGCAAAGACACCAGTTCTGAGGTGTGAAGAAAACTTTGTACATGGATTTGACTGTCCCTTCTGCTATTCAGAAGTAATATTCCTTTTTTTTTTTTTTTTTTTTTAGATTTAAATGTTAGAAGTTTTTTAGCCCAAATACTTTTTTTTTTTTAAATGTGTGTATTACCAGCTTCAGAAGTATTTAATCATTTAATATTTTGGCTGTTTTCTTAGGTTGAAATTGAATCATACACTAATTATCTTCATTGTTCCTCAGAAGCTGAATGAAAGTGAAGAAAAGCATCAAAGCCAAGTTAATTTCTTAAAATCTTGGATGAAAGCAAGTTCAAGAGAAGCAATTAAATAATTTTGTAGGGTGGTCCATTTAAATGAAAATGGCACTCTATGAGGGGTGAGAGGCACTTGCTGGTTTGTTTTATTTTTTGAGGTATTTTGTTTGTTTGTTAATTTTTAGTTGTTTTATTTTTTGAGGGTTTTTCCTGTTTGTTAATCTTTAGTGCTGCAGTGAAATGCCTACATCTGCTGAAATTAAATGTGTTAAGCGACAAGGCACTTTTGAAGGAGCTCTTTGGTACCTGTCTGAATCCCTAGACAATGAGTTACCTTTAAAAGCCTGGCTGTGATCTGAATATTTGATCACACAAATGATCAAGCTAATTGATTTTTTTTTTTCCTTAATTCCTGTCCTAAATCTACATTCAGTAATCCTATGGGTAAATTCAGAATTAATTAGAATTGGAAAGTAAGATAAAAATTACTCAGTGGCAAATCTTCCAGACATTGTTCAGAACAGATTCTAACTGAAACAATTATGTTTTTATTTCATAATTGATATAAGCCAGTCTGACTCTTTCTTACATCAGGAAAGGATTGCTCTGGATGTTCTGTTATCCATACTCAAATGACCTGTGTTAAAGCAATAAAATAAATTAGTTCATAACTCAATGGAAAATCAGAGGTGGACTATTACATGATTTATAATGAGTAGTTATAGTATTCTAATTTCAAAAACAGTCTTTCCCTGTCTCTCCTGTCTCTTATCCCATCAATTTACTCAGAAGGAAATTCATGTATTCAGCAAATAACTTGTTCTGTTTTGTACAATTTATACATTTATGTTTTACACATTTTGCTGTGTTTCTTTTAGTGTGTTATGAAATTATATTTCAGTCCATTGAATCTTACTGTAAGGTCAAACTGACAACTAATACTGGCTTATTTCACCACAGCTAATTAAAAGTGGGTTTGTTTAGTTTTTAAGTTAGGCTGCTTTCACAATATTCCTGCAGTAAAAATCAAACATACCACATAATTACAAGGAAAAAAAAAGAGGATTTAAAAACAAACAAAAAGCCTCCTCACCCAAAAAACCCAAAGAAGCTCCCAAAACATTTATTTTCTGATTATCTGCCTGAAATACCCAAATCCACAGCAGGAAAAAAAATGCCAGTGTGGTGGAAATAATTTAGGCACAAAATACAATAAAATGTACACAGTGGAAAATGTTAAAGGAAAAGACATAGAAAATTATTTATTAGAATTTATCTGAATAATACTTTTCATAGCTCTGACTTGTATCTGAAATAAATCAATGAATTTTAGGACAAATCTCTTAAAATATCCTTTAATTAAAAGAGAACACATTGTTCCTACTTTTTTAACAGACTCAATATTTTCAGATATGTAACTGTAATAGGTCACTGAACACTAACAGTCTTCAGTGGAAATTTCTTCATTGAATTCAGGTAAATAATTCTAGAATATTCATAATTCCCTAAAGACATTTATGATTTTTATAAATCATAAGTAGTAGCCAATCATCACCTTTATCATTGGTGTAATATATAGTTCGATATAGTTCAAATGTGTCTCTTTACAAACAGTTTTCATTTCTGACAGTATAAATCTAGCACAAAGATATCAATCTCATGGAATTATTCCTCACAACCTATAGGTTCAAGAAGACAGAAACCTGGCTGCTGGGTGTGTGAGTTGGAAGCACGTGAACTAATCTCAGACAAGTATCAGGTTGTGAGTTCTCTGCCCAGCACATAAAAATGCAATCCAGGTGTTGGTATTTCCTCTCTTAATTCACTCTGCAGAGCACTCGCTGCCATGTGGACTGGCTCTGTACAGATAATCTCATTACTGGCTTTGCAGCTGTTTGATTTTACTCAAAGGTCAGCTTTGATGTGATTTCTATATCCAGGTCTCCCTTAAATCATGTTCTGAGGATGACCTTTGGCAGAGCAACTGTGCCTGGAAACAGTGATGTTACAGTTTATTTATACAACTTTTCTGAGCCCTAATTTTTATTTGCTGATTGGATGTGACAAGTGCATTAATTCTTACTTTGTCAAAGTTCTCTGATATAATAGAGTAATTTGGCTTAGGGGAACAGGGGGGAGAAAGAAACTTAAAAGAAAAAATTCAAACACTGAAAAACTGGTCTTGAGAATGAATTTCCCTATTGGTGCTAATTGGTGACTGGAAAGAATGTAGCATAATGCAACTAATTTTTATACCTGTTGAAACAATGAAAATCTGATTAAAAACTAAATTTATAACAGGGTGTGTCCTACAATAAATAGGAATGTGATCTCCATTCCTGATTACAGCAGTTTAATAGGTTATTTCAATTCAATGCTTAATGGAAATTGAGATACAAAATGACACTTGCTTTGGCATTTGCTAAAAATTATCTTGAGCAAAAATTACCAATAGGAAAAACCTGAGGCTACACGAGTTTATTAATGCCTTGTGATATCTTATGTGTGCTTTTGTCCCTGATACAACCTCGACCCTCTGTTTGGGCATCCAGGTTCTGAGCAGTCAACACCAGGCATTTGAGCAACTTCACTCATTTCCGGGATGACAAGCAGCCATAAGTGTATGTGATTTTGGAGAATTAGAATCTATATAAGTACTATTATATGTACATTTTGAGTCTTAAGTACTAGCCAAGAAAGAAAATTATCTACCACAGTAATAACCCAAATTAATTTTTAAGTCTTTTGTTGCTATTGCTCACTGGCTGTCTTTTTTAAGAACAGTTGAGATTTGCACAAGCAAATATGGTTTTTATACAATTATTTGGCCTCATACTTGTACGTGTTACAAGTAGTCACAATGTTTCTTAGTTACAAATTAAACTCATGTCAAATTAAGAGGCCATTTATCCCTAACAGGTACTGAACTAGAATTGATAACCATAGTGGCATAAAGTAGTTCTCTACTGTGGGTTATCTGGGCTTTTTCTATATTTAACTGAGGTGAGTACACATTTGTAAAGAGCTATCAATTTCATCCTAAAGTCAATTTCTGGGCAGGTTTTCTGCAGTGCACTCCACTGGTGTTTATTTCTCAGCAGCTGGAGAGCTGGCTTGGCTCAGAGGTTGCTGTCTCAAGTGATGTGAGGTGAGCCTCATTTCCATGGCTGTTCCTGACCACAGTGGAGAAGCCAGCTGACTTGTCTTGGAGGAATGTGCCCATTTTTGGTTAGAGGGTCTTTACCCAGCAGTTTGTCACCATGGCCACATCAACACAATCCCTTTTGGAGAAATTCCCAGTCTGATTCCATAACTGTACATCTTGGTAGGCAGCACTGGGACTGCTGGGCCCCCTTCTCAGTGGGGCACAGGGAGGATGCATACAGAAGAAGTAGTGATTAGTACCTCCATTACTTGAATATTTGAGTTTTACTTCATTTTGGAAGCAGAATAGTAAATTTGCTTAGCAAGTTTTTGAAAATAGTCAACTTAAACACTGTTTATTATGCAGTGGTTTTATATTTTATCACCTCATTGTGATCTAATATATCTCAGAGCCATTTTATGATCTGGAACATTTGAATATTCCAAGTTCAAATATGTTATACCATGAAAGTAATAGCTAATACAAACTTAAAAACAGAAATTTTGCTTGTATGTTCTGGCTTTGATATTAGAAAACAGGATGAAAGGATCCAACAGATTTGCATCTGGAATTAACACTGTATCATAAACTGTGATGTGGTATCTTCAAGAGGGACCCTTTGAAGCTAAATTTAGGATAAAGGTGCCAGATAAAATACATTTTTATTCTCAGAAGCTTCAAGTTCAGTGAGGTACAGAAAACACTAAGAGGATTACACTAAGAGGGGAAACGGCTCCGATGCATGCTCTGGATGTGTGTACTTTAAAAACATCTTCAGATTTAGGTATTAGAGCTGAGCCCCTGGCTGTTACTTTTAATCTTTTATTGCCAAATAAAACCTATCCAGCAGAGGAGAAATCAGGATGTATAATCCTTGTGTATAAGCCTGGGATTGTAGCTAACCTTGACAATTACAGCCTGTTGTCCTTTTGTCACTGAGGAAGATCATCTCTATACCAGCAAGTTGGGATAGACAATCATCAGCTGATATAATCTCTCAGAATTTTATCAGATGTTTTGGGGCTTTTTTAGAGGCCTGGGGGGAGAGTTGCTTTTGGGTTTTTGTAGTGTTCAGCATATTTCTGCTAAGATTTAGAAGCATTGTTGTGTACACCTCTGTGTTCTTGATCTGTTGCAGAATGTGGAACAATTTAAATTTCTCCCTGAGGATTACTAATTTCATTTATACCAGGAGATTTTCAGTGTTTTGCAAAATTCAAGTTTGATTTTCCATTATGCTGTTGCATTTTATGTATAATCATTCAACAGTCAAGGCATTCTGAACAGGAGAAAGCATAATAGAGGAAAATAATTAAGACCCATTTATGAGTTAAACACATTAACCAGAGCATTTTTGTTAATATAAAAAAATATGAAAAAACTTTTACTGCCTACAGTTTTGATTTGACTGCACTGGCATTCTTTTTGAAGCCTTTCCTTTGTAATATTATATACATTATATTATATACAAATTTGTAATATTATATACATTATATACAAATATACTTTGTAATATTACAAGGTTTTGCTCTGCTAAATAGTGAATAAACCCTTTTTATTCTCTAATTGGTTTTTTTTCCGTGTGGGCTTTTATTAGATGCCTTATATCCCTGTACTCTGATCAAGTGACAGAGAAATCTTTACTGTGCTTGGAAGGAATTGTGGTGTCTATGCCCTGTGGTCATGGAAGTGTAAGGTGCTGAATGAAAGTCATAAAGAAAAGTAAAGATAGAACTGAAAACTTCTGACTAATCTTCCTTGAAAAAGACATGGCAGAAAATAACACTGGAATTTCAGACTATTTACTGTCCTTATGAATGCCTTTTAAATACCTAAGGAATAGAAATATAACTGAATATCAGAAATATCATATAGAAATACATGATATCAGAATATCATATAGAAATATGACTGAATAACAGTCAATTCCTAAACTATAAACCTGTTTGAAACTGCTACCACTTCTATCTGATTCTAAACTTTATTCACTTAAAATACCTCTTTACAGCTATTCAGATGTTCTGATAAATTACCTCCATCAGTAGGTTTTCCCATGCAAGGCTGAAGTTAGTACAGGTTATATTAGCATAGAATCACTTGGTTCTAGGATTTTATTCCAAATATCTTTCATTCAAAATCAGGATTCAATGATTAGATTTCATTTCTAAGAATTTTTTCCACTCTGTAATTCAGCCCTGTGTTCCTGTCCCGTTTCATTGGGTAGCTTTGGAACACCTAATGGAGCCTTGCATTACCTGTGGGAGGTTAATAGTGAGGCTCTTTGGAGGTCAGTGCTGCAGGAATGAAAGATGAGGTTTGAAAGAGGATGTTTAGTGATTGTAGGATGAAAAGTGTTCCCATTAAGGATGATTAAACATTGAAACAAGGTACCAAAAGGGAATTATGGAATCTCAGACCTTGGAGATTCTCAGGACATGAAAGAATTCATGACTGAGCAACGAGGTTTGAAGTCAGGGCTGTCCCAGCTCTGAACAGAACTTTGGAGTAGATAAACTCCTAAAGTTGCTTGCGTTGGAGTCTAAAACAGAGTGTGTGCCCTTGTCTCTGATACCTGACTCTGAGATCCAGGAGAACACTGAATTTCATAGAACATGAAATTTATGGGCATGTTTTCATGGCGTTACATGAAAACAACTGTGAAAGTTAGATAGAAAAGCTAAAAGTGTGAGTGTGTAGATTAGAGAGTTTTTTAAGTCACTGGGTGAAAAAGTTAGTTTAGAGTTTAGTTTAGAAAGCAGATGACAAGATGGAAGATTTAGAATGTTGTCTCTTTTCCTTCTTCTTTCTTCTTCATCTTCTTCTCCTAGAGGTTTTTGGGTAGTAGAGTAATTGGATAGAAAGTGTCACAGTGCAGCACACAGGTGTTGGGTCATTGGGTCATTAAGAAAAATAATTTACAGGTCTATTGTTAATTGAATAAAAAGAAGTATAAGAATAAAAGAACTGCGTAGTTCAGGGCCATTCTGTGCCTTCAGAGCCCAAAGTGATCCAAAAGGGCAGAATGAATTGAACCTGAGCAAAAGTCTGGAGAGACCTGCCAAGTTTTGAGATAACATCCTAATAAACACAAGGAACAAGATCCTAACAGGCTTTGGAGTTTTTGTCCTGACCCAGAGAACTGAGATAAACAGAACTACCCATGAGGGATATCCAGAAGGAGCTCAGCTCAGAGGAGCTGAGAAATCCAGGAGTGAAGAGAAGTGCAGCAGAAGCACAACAGAATCAAAACTAGAAAGAAAAAAAAAAGAAACAGAATTTAAAAAGTTATACCTTGCACCATGAATGATTCTGTGACTTAATCTTTCTTTTTTTTTCTCTCTCTTTCCTCCCATTTCTCCACAGCCTTACAGAAGCATTTTCTTGATGAAACATTTTCTGAAGCCATGGAGCTGATGAGATCCTCCATTTCCCTGATTGCTTTCCACTCTTCTAGAATGTGAATGGGGTAAAGCAGGGCCTTTGCCATACCTTGAACTGGACTGCCCACATGGACCAAACAGGGAGAATTACCGTCCAAAAGGGGAGAATTGCTGGCTGTTCTCTCGACTGACAGCAGAGGGAGTGAATTCAAATGGAAATTGAGATCCAAATTCTAGGGAGAAGGGTCAAAACATGGTCCTGGAAACCAAGTTATCAGCTAGCACGGAGTAATAATTTTATTTCTTGGCAGGGACCATGTTGGAGAGATGGAAATGGGACAGAAATTGCCACTGCTATCCTCTTCTTGACTTCTGGCTGAGCTATATAGCAGAATTGGATGCCATAAATTGCAAACGTGAAGAACTTCATTTGAACTCTTGAAGAAAAGGAGAAACTTGGCTTGTGCCACTTTATCATGCACTTTAATTGAAAGCAAATGTATTTAACCTCTTTGAAAGCTTAGAAAAGCTTTCAAATGTAAATTTGTGAACCTTAAACAAAAAACCGGAGTACATTTAAAAAAAAAAATTCTACATGTAAACCAGGTGATATTTCAGCATAAAATCAAAATAGTTTCATGATTTACTTTTAAAAAGCGTGTTACATACTAAATATTATTAAAGCCTTGCTTAGCCCACAGTCAGATGCTGAAGACCTATTACTGATGTTGTGAATACTAATTGCTTCCACCACATTATCTTTGTTGTGAAGCTTCACCTCCTGATGAATGTAACCAGTCTCTGGATGCCAAATCAGCCCTATCAAGTTCAAGTCAAAGGTCTGGCAACAACAGAACCTTTCCCCACTCATCGAGTGCATTAACATATTGCCAAGTTCCCTGCTCTACGTGAGCTCCTCGTGCTGGGGGATCCATCTGAAGGGAGGTGCTGATGCTGTGAGTAGCACATCATTCACTCAGCACAAGGAATATTTACCCAATTAGCTGCTTCAGCCTGGGATGGTGTTACACTAACCATTATTTGGAGTTTTGATACCTGCCAAGAATTACAGGACAAACTGCTTGTTCTGGGTGTGTAGTGTGTGTACACAGCAAGTTATGTGTCTAAGTGATTTGCAGATTTTAGTTCAACTCCTAATTGTTTATTTCTGCTATTAGGAGACTGATACACCTAAATGGAAACATTCTCCTTGTTGGCCTCATGTGACTGACCATTCAAAGTCACTGAAAGCTCAGTCTGTGTGCTTTCTAAATGTTTCCTTTTAGTTCCATTTTCTCTGCAGTTTAAGAGGGACATTCACATTACTCTTGAAACATATAAAGTAAACAGGATTAGTTTCCAATGATCCTATCAAAACTGAATATTGATAGATTTTTGAAATGACCTAAGCACAATCTGTTTTTTCTCTTAATTTTTATTTAGGAGGGGGAAAAAAAAAACCCCAAGCATTTTCTGAAGTATCTAGTGCTACTGGCAAAATGACTTAAACTCATTTTAGTAGATGATTTCTTTTATAAATTTGTGTTTGGAAGAGTTCATCTGGTAATACAGCTCTTTTTAGGGACCCAAAATACAATGTCTCATTCTCCAGCTATGTTGTCCATATCAGACTTGAGTATGATATGACCAATAGTCTTTGAGTAATGAAAATTCTAATTGTGTTTAAAAGCTTTCTTCCCTGCTCCTCCTCCTCCCCTCCAAATACTTCAAGGTCTCTGTTTTCATCTTAATATTCTGCTTAACTGAGGTTCACCTGTCTTTCTCTTGCATGAAAACTTTTATTTATGGAGCTATGTGAAGCAACCTGTACACAGAACATGTAACAGGAAGCTGAAATTGAGCATAGAACCCTCAGAAGTTGAGTTACTTAAGCACAGGGCAGTCTGAAAGCTCCTTTGGATCCAACTAAAATGTTTTTGTATGGAAAACTCATGAAACTGGCATTTTTATGATTTTCAGTATTTCCTGTTCTGGTCAAATCAGCAACTCAGGACAAACTTAAGATGTTTTCATTTCTGGCCTCTGGTAGCAGGAGACAGTGGAAACCTGTGAAAGTTTAGACACTAATCTTTATCAGGACTTGTAAAATCATGTAGTCCAGTTCTTGGATATACTGCTGAAACATTTATTTTTCATGCTTAATTGATCAAAATAATGTTTCTCTGTCATTCTACAGTCCACAGTAAACTTCAATTATAATTGTTTTTATCCCTTGCTGTTCTGTAGCATGAAGTTGTCTGAAACATTTCCAAGTGTATTCATACAGCAAATATTAGAAATTAGAAACTATCTTTGCAGACTGACATTCTCCTAATGTAACTTCTTAATCAGTGATTCAGAATGGTTACTTATGGTTGTGCAGAAAAAAATGTACAAGCAGAAAGTGTTCTTAGAAATATGTATATAGAAATACCCACCAGTATTCCCAATCTACAACAGCTGTTAGTGGCATTTTCTACTCCAGCTTTTTAAGAAAGACTGAAATGTACAATGTTATCACTTATCACTGACTATGTTCTTTATTAAAATAATTCCTTCCATCCTAATTTTTCTCACCTTATAGTCAGTGTAGTAAAAGCTGAAGACTAAGCACTTTAATTATATTATTGCTATAGCCATTCCTATTTTAAAATGGGGTTTAATTAAAAAATATTTTGGAGCTATTGACCTGTAGCCAAGGTTTAAGTGATCTAATTCTGTAATAAATGTGCACATTTGAAGCAAAAATAGTTCAAACTGGACTTTTGGCATGTTTAACCAACATTGTTTCAGACTTGGAGTAAAACTTTATATTGGCTGGAAGAGTATGGATTTGTTGCAATCTTTGCAGTTCACTGAACTTTTTTTTTTCTGTGCATACATATTTCAAGTAAACTCTGTAGTTATAACAAGTGACACGTTATGGACCCTAAATCGTTGCACTGTGAAATATGCACAGAAAAAGGACAAATGAAGATATCAAGGGTCTGTTCCATTTCTCACTGAACTGTAAAATGCCACCCTTGTTGTACAGCAGATCACTGGTTCTGAGCAGGGCTCATTGACTGCTAAGTTGTGGATAGTGTTTCACTTTCTGCAACTGTTAATATCCTGGGTTATCCAGGCATAATGACCTCTCTATTTGTGACACATTGTTGAATTTTCTGGTTCTTTTAACTTATTCAAACCTTCTTTTTTTTTTTTTTTTTCTTCCTTCTTTTTCTCCATTCATCGGAAGGCTGGAAGGATTCTGAATTGAGCTGCAGTACAGAGCTGCCTGCTGTTGGTCAGCCAACTGCAGCTGAAATACGTGGTGGTGGCACATCTGGAAATGAACACAAAAATGTGAAAGGAAGGTGCTCTACATCTGCACTAACCCTTCTTTTATATAGGGTAACATATGTGTTTTGGATAAAATTGATGTATCTGCAGTGTAGTTTGGTTTCATCAGTTCTAATGTAGTAAATAATCCATACTACAACAATCTATATTATGTTACAGCTTACATTTGATATTTAAACTGATAGGAATGAAATTCCAGCTTTATAACTAGTCACTAAATTACATCTCAATACCTAGGGTATTAAATATTTTAAATGTTTATAAAGATTTGCACTTAAAAAACACTTTGATAGTTCAAAATATGAAAACAGGGATTATATGCAATGTACAGCATTTGGTTTCCAGAACTAAATACAGACCTGGCTTCCTCTGAACTTATAAGGATTTTAAGTTAGTGGAAATATAAAATTTTATCTCAGGTTTGGACCCATGCCTGTTTATTCTTCTATTTGTTCCCCTCCAAAAGAACAGTGTTTATTTGGTTTTTATTTGCACAGTATATTCTGGATAGCTCCAAGTTTTCTCTGGCCCTGTAGAAAGCAAATTACATTTTGAAGGACTACTTTATCTGCCTCCAACAAAGAGTAGAGCGTGTTTTTGTATACCTGCAATGTATCAGGTGGATAAATATTTTGCTCATCTTCAGCATTGCTGGCTCTCTTTTGTGAAGTGTTTTTCTGTGGCTTCTTCCCCCATTAAAATCTGTGAATCTTGTCAAATTTCACTGTTGTAATAGAAGAAAATACTTACTGCTTTCAGAGAACTTCACAACCAGGGCCCCATATATTGAATAATATGAAAGATCTAATATTCAGTACTGAAGGCTTTTCTCCTTGTATCAATTAATATTTTTGTCTCAAACATTGAAATGTTCTGACTTTTTTTTTTTTGGTGAATTGAAGTCTTTGTGATGTGACAAAATTATTATTAAAAAAAAAAAGTAAATAGGAAGGAATATATTCATTTAGGTATTGAAAAAACAATCCACCTACTCTCTTTCTATGTGGCTCCTGTAAAAACACCTGTAAGTATTTACAATATTCACTCTAGCTAGGCCTGTGCTGTCCCAGAAGAGTCAAGGGGGAAGATCTGTTAATAAATTAGACCTATTACCTCATTCAGCATGCCATCATTTTCTAGGATGGATGTGTTCCCAATGGCACAGCTCCAAGGGTCACTGTGCCTTTTATGCCTGGACTTTCCAGAAAAGAAATGGCTGCATGGGATAGGATGAATGTTTTACTAGACCATTGGGCACATTGATTTTTATTTTCATGGATATGTAGATCAAATTGAAATAACCTAAAGGGGCTGATGTGATACCCTGGGACTTGAGACATGTCAAGATTTGTAGGAAGTCTGTATCTTTCTGCTTCTTGGTACTCCCTGTAGAAAAATAGCGTGGGGTGTCATTGAGATCTGTCACTTGCTGACACTTAGGGGGAAAAATAACCCCCCACCTCTGCCAGACATTCTCTAGATGTGTCCCAGCTGAATAAGATTGTGTGCTGGACCTAGTTTTGATTTATTTACATTTAAAGCAAGTGCTATGCAAGTCAGACACGCATGATCCTGGCTGGCTGATATATCCTTAAGCAACTGTCTGCATATTGGCATGTGAAGAATTCTTTCTTGACCTGATGTTCAACTGTCATGTTAAAAAGAAATTATTTATACACCCTGAAACTACATGGGCAAAAACAGCAGATATTTGAAGCTTGAAAAATTGCATTAAAAAAAAAAACCAGCATAAACCAAATCTTATTTAAAATTTGAACTTTTGAATTTTCCAGGGATTTTTAAAGATTTTTTTTACATGAATATTTTTTCACCCAAGGTTCAAAAAAAAAAACCTGTTACATAGGTTATGTAGATCTCAGAGAAAGTAGGAATGTAAGTTGTATTTTAAACACTGGGATGATAAATGTTGATATGGGTATAATATGTGTGAAGTGCCTTTTCATTTCTTGAAGCTGCTTTTCAGTTTAAAAAAGCTTAGGTAAAGATAAATTTAACCTTTATGTCATACAAATTTAGCAGATGTGTCTGTGGAAATTAAATTTTGTGACTATCTGATTTTTTTGTTTAGCTGATACAGATAAAATAATTTAAAATTTATTTAAGGTTGCAGAACTTGTCAGACTGACAGGGAGATTTCAGTTTTGCCTTACAGTCAGGAATACCTACTTTGTGTCTTCTTCTTAGCATGTCTCATTCCCAAATTTCAGATCTGGGATAAAAATCTTGTCTCTCTTTTATAAAGACTAGTTGTAGTGAAGAAGTGACCAGAAGAAACTAGTTAGGGACAACTTATTCATTTTATGTAGTTTGACTCATGAGCTGATTTTCACCTTTTCTTTAACCTAGAAATAAATGAAATTTGGACTGGTTTCAAGAACCTTACTAGAAAATCTTTACATTCCAATATGTTAGGCTTTCAAAACTCTAATATTTTTGGTAAACCTTCAGAGACAGAGGCAATTCTGAGGTTGAAAATCATGTTTAGATTATTCTTCTAGGGAAATTTATTACTTTCTGATGTATGTAATGAGTATTTTGTTAACACAGATAGTGAAGTAAAATGCTACACATGTATCTACATATATATCTTTGGATTTTCAAGTATTTATCTATTATGTTGAGAAAATGAATGAGGCTCCATCAGGCTGGTGAGCAGTCACCAGTGATGTTCCTGAGGGTCCATTTCAGTTCCATATCCTTATCAATGATCCAAATGCAATGATTTGATGCAATGATTTGAATGCACCACGAGCAGGTTTGCAGCTGATGCCGGACTGAGATGTGCTTTTGGCTCTCTTGAAAGATGAGACACCTTGCAGAGGAATCCAGGCAGACTGGAGAATTGGAGGAAGATCGGTGTGATGGAATTTTAGCAAGTCCAAATGCTGGATTCTCCATCTGGGATGGAGTGACACCAGGCACAGCTGTGAACTGGGAGAGGAGAGTCTGGGGTTGGCCCTGCAGACAGGGATCTGGGGGTAGAATCCAGCAGTGTGCCCTGGCAGCCTGGAGGGAAAACTCCATCCTGGGGGATCAAACACAGCTCAGCCAGCCCAGCACAAGAGCTGATGATCCTGCAGAGTCCAGCCCTGGTGGGGCCTCACCTCGAGGGCTTTGTGCAGTTCTGGGCCCCACAGATCCCATGGGAAGGTCCTTGAATGCAAGGAGAAGAGCAACAAAACTTGTGAAAGGCTGGAAAGGGCGTGCTGTGAGGGGCCACTAAGGAGTTTGGGCTTGTCTGGTTTGGAGAAAGGGAGGCTGAGGGGTGACCTGATTGCTCTCCACAGTTTCCTGGGCAGGGTGAGAGGAGACAATGGCAATCTCTTCTCCCTGAGATCCAGTGATGAGTAGAAATGGCTCAAAGCTGTGCTGGGGTAAGTTCAGACTGGATATGAGGAGGCATTTCTTCATGGAGAGGTGGTCAAGTGCTGGAGCTGCTTCCTAGAGAGGCAGGTGATGCCCCAGGCCTGGCACAGTTTAGAGGCATTTGGACAATGCCCTTCATCATATGCTGTGACTTTTGGTCAGCACAGAAGTGCTATGGAGTTGCATTGTAGGTAATTTCCAACAGAACTGGTCTGTTTTAGACAAAAAAATATTTTCAGAAATCTGTTCTTCCTTAATTAATGTGGTTTGCATTCAAATGCTGTAAAAGAATAATGGGAAATATAATAATATTGAACCTGATTTAAAAATTCCAATGTTATCAGTATCATATAGAGCTGGAAAACTGTTCTGGTTGAGGTAGTTTATCTGATTTAATTTGCACTATTGTTAACATTAATTCATTTTCACTCCAAAAAGTCTTAAGGAATGACTCCTTTCCCAATTCTTTTATTCAATAGAATTAGCTGCAGAGGACTTTATTCTTCTCCGCATCTCTATTTACTACATTAGATGCTTATTTATCATGTTAGCTTCAGAAATCAAGTGTTCTTTCCTGGTGAAATCATGCTATTTGAAGTATAAATACTAACTATTCTATCTGCTAATTTGTTTTTGAGCTCTGGTAAAATATAGGTTTTGGAAACAGTATAAGTATTACATTACATTTGCATTTCCCAAGTAATGGATTTTTGTGAGGTTTTTTTCTCATTTGTTTTTATGTTCCCTTTTTCAAAATGAAGCTTTCAATGAATTGTTGTTTTGGTCTTGTGATGTTACTGCATTGTTTGTTTTTCATGTTATTTTCATAAATATTTTTCATTTCATGAGAGAACAGAAACATACTGTGTTTTATTAAAAGCCTGTAAAATTGAACAGATGCTTTTCATAATTTTAATTGAGAATTTTTTGTTTTATTTTGGTTTCAATGATTTGTTTCTTGAATTGCAGTGCTTTTCTTATTTATTTTTTTCAATTATGTAGCAAAAATGGGCCTTATTCTTTAATCTGTGAAATAACAAAGGGTCACTGTTTAGAAGTGAGGCCACTAGAAAAATCTAAAGAGTGAGCAGTGTCAAAAATGAGTTGTTTGCTTCTCTGCTTTTATACATCTTTATTAACAAAAGCTTAAAACTCATTCTGGGGTAGAAATTAAGACCACTGAGCTCAAACTGGATATGTTATTAACACCTTCTAATAGCAGTTAACAAGCACAAAATACAGAGAATTCATTTATTGAACAAATATGGCCAAACTGTAGTAAATAGTGAAAGGTTCTTTGGTTAGGTTTGGTTGTCCTTACTCTTACATGACTGAAGAAAATAATCCTTTTAAAATAGATTGTTGATTAAAACAAAAATATTTTCCTGGAAAAAATATATTGCTTTCCAGTGTGTTTGGTCAGATGGAGTGCTTAACTCCAACAGTCTAAAGAAATGGTGACCATGGTTCCCATTGTTTTGTCTGTTATCTGGAATTGTTCCAGAATGATCCAGATGAGTAAATAAAAATTGACAGTTGCACCATTCTTTGTTTCTCAATGCACACTGATTGTTATTTATACAAAAAAAATTGTAGTTTGCATATAACAAGGAGAGATATTTGTGAAGTTTCTGAGAGTTAATAACTATAACACTGCTTGCTTCTTGCCTGTGGTTTTTTTATAAGGAAAAAAGGTAATGGTTAATAGCAGATCTCTTTGGAAAATGCTGTGTTTCTCCATATATTTCACATTCACTTTATCTGTAGTGTCATGTTATTTTAAGTTGCAGCATATGTAGGCCAACAAAAGCTGACATAAAGGAAAGCAGCACAATACAGGGTAATGATATGTGACACATCCAGATTGAGAAGGAAACTGGCTTTCTTGGAGCTAATACCTACTGCTTACTGTGCTTGCCATGAGCATCCCCTCCTCTGTGCATACATTCCACCCCATGCAATCAGAAAATACTTATGTGGAAATACTTATGTAAAAAACTAGGTTTGTTTTGAAAAAAGCCAGGAAAATCATCAAGTGTTTTTGAGATGTCGATTCATAATTCAATCCTGATATTTTTTCCTTATTTGAAAGCTATTCTTAAGCAGCAAGAACAAATTGATCTTGATATTTTCCTTTGCATTTTACTCAAAATATCAGTATTTACTGTTATCCATATTTGTGAAAGGTCAAGTTATGTGCTCTTATTCAGGTAAACCTTATGGACAACTTAAACAAAGTACAAGTTGCTAAAAAGTAAATTTAAAACTACAAATAAATGAAAGTATTAGTCAATTATCAACTTTAGAAAGCAAGCAAGCTAATCAAGGCCTTTAACATGCTCTGAATTTTGAACATGTATTTTACAATAAATTGCATCATAAGGGTGTTCTGTGAAAGGAAAATATATGCTAGACCTGTTGGAATATATTTTGGACCAGAAATAGAAATTTCCAAAATATAGCATTTGCTTTAGGGTTAAACAAGCTGGAAAATGAGTTTTATTATCCTGGGAAGGTTTGAGGCTTTTGTTGCATCCTGCACTGGGAGTCTGCTTTGTTTCTTCACTTTGAAGAAGAAGTGAGGTTCCCTGGAACACCTGGGGAGGTTGTGCAGTGTAAAGGAAAGGCAGACACGTGGTCCTGTGCCAGGCATTCCCAGGAATTCCCAGGGATGCTGCTGGCATCCTGGCACAGGTGGAACTGCACCTGTGTACTGGTCCCTGACAAAGGGAACTGCATCTGAGTACTGGTATGGGCAATGAGTATAATTTCACTCTGTTAATTTTGTGTTCTGTTTGCAGTCATTGCATGGCTGACAAATGCTTTCTTCTGTCACATGAGCAGAGATGCCACAGGCCCAGGCAGAAATGGTGAAAAGGGATGAGGAAACCACCCAAAATCACTTTCCTTAGCAGCACTTGTGGCAAAGGGAGTGTGAAGTGCTTGTAGGGGAAGAATTTGTCTAAAGAAATCCAATCTTACATCATTATTCACACAGACAAGACTGAAAAACATACTATGAATATTTTAGTTTAATTCTGAGTTTATTTGCTCAGAATTAAAATGTGGGTGGAAAAATGCAGCAGGAGATAAATGTTTCAGATTATATTGTCTCTACAAGCTGATAAACAGCAGGATAGTCACTGTTATTGATCGGCAAAGAACTTTTTCCTTAAGAAATAAAAGCGCCCCACTGTTTATTGTATTCTTGCTATTGAAGGGATTTATTTTAAAGTAAAATATAAGTGGTCCTAAATTGAAAATAACTTCACTCATGAGAAAAGTCTGAGAGAAGGCTCAAGAAAAAGTCATGCAACCAAAGCTAAACTGTTGAAATTTTCCAGTATAAATCAAGATCAAAACATCTAAATATTTTATTATCAATGAGTATTCTTAAGATACAAGTAAAAAGTCTTCTCAGAACTCAAAGTTTTGTTATTTTGCTTTCCACTCGAGCTTAGAATGTTCACTGAATCTTTGGGCTGCCCACTCAGAATTGGCTTTGGAAAATATGCCCAAGTGTTTAACTACTATAGTATTTTCACTAATAAGTGATGAAACAGAAAAATGTGGCTTTTCTTGTACTTGTTGTACATTTCATTCTGTAACCACAAGGTTTTAATAAATTATTGATGTCAATTTGTTAAAGTGTTACCTGTCATTTTCATAGTTTCTGGTCTTGGTCTAATTTAGTCTATCTAATATCTATATATTTTCTGTTAAGAAATGGTGCAGGTGCTCACAGAACCTAAAATTTCCATCATAAATAAAGAATATTTTCTGTAAGCAAAGGTTCTGCCAGTTTCATCATGAGGACAGTGGACTGAGTACTGCTTGAGTTGAAGCAGCACCTGAGAAAATGCCACGGTGCCTTTTCAGGGACTGAGGTAAAGAAATAACGTTGAATACATTTACAAGGCTAATGAGATGTTGAGAGGTGTTAACACCTCAAATTCAACAGATTGTAATTTGTGATTGTCTGTCTATTTTTTATTTTGCCACATAAGCAAGGAGCAAAAGAGCATTAATAAGGCAAATTGACTTAATTGAGGAATTAAAACAGTAAAGTTTACTCAGGTTTCAAAACCATCAGGGAAGCTTTTTCTGTACATGATGTGTTGTGATTTCAGAATATGTCATTTTCACATGGAAATGTATCAAAATGTTGCCTTTAACTAATTGAATATTACCAAAAGACAGCGATACAAAATTTTATTTCTTTGTATTTATAAGAATTTTCATTTTGAGAACTGTTGGTCTTTATTCTGAAATTGATGTCTACAATACTCAGATATTTTTGGCTTTTCATTTTAGTCCATATAAAAAGGTCATTATTTCACCCTGACTTAAAAAACTTCGTGAAACACAAAGTTCTGTCCATGCAGGAGCTCCTATGACATTGGTACATCAACAGCCACTTTTCCCATTGTTCCCTGGTGTTTAGACTGTTGTGATTCTGCTGATGTAGCTGATGTTTTTCTTCATTATTCCTCTGCCTTTGTCCTTTCCTCAGGCTTACCCTGAGTTTGTCCTGACCTACCTAGAGGAGCTAAATGAAAGAGAGGAGGTGACCCAGACAGAAAACTGTATTCACCATGGGGCCTGGTCTGCAGCTCATCAGGAGATAGACAGCAGCTCAGCAGAAGAGGTCACAGTATTAAGCCAGAGGCAGGTCAGAGACAGTCCTTTCAAAAACACGTTTTGAAAAGAGAAATATCAGTGTGGAAGCCAGCTTATTTCCTTAAAAAAAAATAACCCATTTGATTTCTTAATTTAATAAAGTATTTGTATATTAGGCAAATAATAGTTACATGTGGGATTACAGAGGAATAAAAAATTACATATATTTATGTCTCAGAACAGTTTATGCTCATAGACCATGTAGAACAAATTACTGAAATTTCTTATTTTCTGTGTGGAAAAACTTAAGGAAGAAAGAGAAACAAAAAAAACCCCACAAAAACCAAACCACTAGATCTCTAGATCTGTGCTTCTTGATGCATCTTGACATAGCTATTTGTATTTCTGACATTTTCTGCTAATCAACAGCCTTGCTTGAAAAAATAGACACACATTATTTTAATTAGCAATATATAAATTACATGGTTGTACTTTCATCTCTTAGGTTCTGCAAAAAAATGTCAGCAACCCCAATCAGAAACAACTTTCAGGACCTTTGGACGCCCATTTAATGCCTGCAGATCCCCTGGGGGAGACTACACAGCTGACAGTGGCACTGGTGAGGAAACTAGAAGAGAAACATCCTAAGGCCTCAGCTCAAAGGTAAGCCACTGACAGAACTGATATTTATTGTTCAATGACATTAGATGTTTTCCTTCAGTTTCATGTAAGATTGATTTCCTGGATATTATTGAAATATCTCAGAAACCCTCTGGCTGATAAGCAAACAGGGATTTTGACCAAAATTAATGAAAAGGGGTGACATTTATGTGCTTTTCTTTTCTTTTTTTTTTTTTTATTATTTTGAAGATTGATGTGGATGATGTTTGGTAGTAATTGCAAGCTTACTTTTAAATTTTTTATCTACAAATCTCACATTGTGCAAATTGCATAAAGAAATAGGACTTGTATCAACATTGTGACATATTTTGTGGCACAAGACTTATATTTAAATGGTAAAGGTTTTGTTAGAAACCTGAAAGTCATGCTGAGCCAAAATACTAAGTGACAGTAACTTTCAATGCAGGACTGGATTTTAATTTCAATAAAAGATAGAGAGTAGTGTTATTAATTGCTTCTACTTACAGCTGGCAGAAGACTTCATCTTTCTTTATATAACTGAAACTGTCTTTTACAAATGGCATTTGGCTAGTTGTCTTTATGGGTTTGGATGTTTTTAGAGCAATACATTAAAAATGGAGCTTCCATTCAGATGAAAGGCCACAAGACATCACTTGCTATCAGGAATAAAGTTGATCTAAAGTCTTTGTTACTATTGGCAGTAAGTTAATGACATTAATTTGCAGATGATTCAAGCAACAAGAGGGTTTGGTTCACCTAAATTCCTGTAACTCTTCCCTTGGAAGAATTCCCTTTAGAGAACCCATAGATTGGCTCCTCTGGTCCTCCTTCAAGTACTTCAATTTCAGGTGTTTCCTTTATAATATTATTTCACAAATATTAAGTCTTTTTGTATCTGAAATGTTTTGCAAAATGGGCCTGAAGACTGTGACACGTCTGGGGAATTTAAAAGTGTTGGCTCAGTAGCTTTTGGGGAGCTGCAAAGGTAGAGAGAGCTTACCTGTATTTTGGGTAGTTTTGTTTTCAGTCAATGAATCAAATAACTCTACAGCTTTGTTAAAAATAAATGGTTAAACTACTAGTGAATAATCTTGTAGGTTTAAAATGTCAGCTCAATTTGCTATTGTTGACTATATTGACTCTTTTAAATGATGCCATCTGCAAAGTAATGTGAGGATTTAACCACCATCATTTGCACCTCTGTGCTGTGAGTATGGATTTTTCTGCTTTAAATATGTCATGTGATGCCAGGGTCACTAAAAGTTATTTAAATTCAGTTAAGTGCAATGAAATAAAGGAATTTTCAACTAAATGTCTATGCTTTTAGCCTCAGATAACAGGATATAAATATTAAGCTAAAAATCTCTTCTTGCAGAATGAACATACTTGATTTAGAAAGCTCTTTGCTGTCAAGATCTTCCAAAAGCGACTTCTGCAGCCTGGAGCATTTTCTTGAACTTGAATTAGATATAGAAAAATACATTTTAATACCAAAATAACATTATTTTGCTGTTAGAAATATTTGGCATTAAATACCAGTTATAACGAATTCAAAACTTCTACAGTTACCACTGTTATGGGAGGTACTAAGTGATTTACTGCAATTTTTCCCTTAATTGCAATTTTCTACTAGACTGTAACAAGCATGAATGTATTATGTTAAGCAGCTGCCACATCCCACTTTGTAGTTTGTAGAATCCTTTCAGTGACTGAAAGGTGATGTAAGATTAGGAGATAAGGTTTTATTTCCTGTGATTTGAAAAGCTTTCCAAATAGCAAAAAATTCTGTCTTCCTCTACAAAATAACATGAAAAACAGCCATGAGCACAGATGAGGTATGAACTGTGTGTTAGAGGAAAATATATCAGTGTTCTAGAACTCTTTCAGCTGGTCCAGCTACATGAGTTGATAAAGTGAAGATTATGATCTCTCCCTCCAAAGTTCAGTTGGTTCTTGTGAAAATCTTTTGGTTAATGGCCCTGCTCAACAGGTTTGTAGATTTTTGTAAAACTCTTTTGTAAAACTCTCTGAGAGGAAGGGAGGGAGGCTCAGCTGCCCAGACACAGGTGTTCAGAATAATTCTGAGGTGTTTAATGGGGTACCATCAGGGAGTGCTGAAAGTCTCCTGCCAGCACTGTGATGGATTTGTGGGACCTATGCAGATCCTTTGAGTACACTGACAGTCTCAAATACCACCCAGTGTCTCCCTTAAAGTTTTTGAGTTCTGCCCTAAACAGGTTGGTTTTTATTCCAATTTAGTTTTGTAGGGATGTGCGTTTCAGAGATGTCAGTGTTTGGTTTGGTTTCTGAGGAACAGCCAAAGAAAACCTTATCTGAAAACCCATCTGAAAGATGGGATAGGGAGAGCACTATAATAGGGTTAAGTTTCAAATAATATAGTTAATTATATTGTAAGGCTGTTTGCATAATTTTCATACTTTCAGACTTTCTTTCCTTATTTATTTTTGCTGGTTGAAGGCTGCAGTCAGTCCCTTTCTTACATTGTTCAGCAAGCTGCACATTATCCTGTGATATGTGTTTAGATAACAATGAAATGAAGTTGCTTTGTTTTGGGTTTGTTTTTTTTTTTTGTATGTGTCTTATCTTAGTGGTCTTAGCAAGTTCTTAATCTCTTTGCAGACATCTTATTAAGAGTTCTTTCTGATGTTCTGTACTTAATGCATCTCACACTTTTAACACTTTGCATGATAACATGATGCCTGTAAGACAGAAAAACATGAGCTTCATCCCTGATTTACCTGACTGAATCCCTGAGTTTCCATGTGGGAGGTGAAAAACTTATCCAATCCTAGCAAATACCATTGAGGAAAAAGTGACAAGTCCCAAGCAGACCAAAACCCAACACAAAGTAGTTGCTAGACATGGAGGATCCAAGCTGCTGAGACTTGGCTTTTAGGATGAGGTTGAGTAGAGCATTTAGCTGTGTGATTGTGATTTATGCACTTCCCTCAGTGCACAAGAGGCTTAACTAATGACCACTGATTTCCTTACCATCCTTATTCCCACTGTTTGTTTCTGGGAAATGGCTAATCCATTGCCTCCTTCCACTTAAAAATAGTTTGGAATGGACACTTTTATTAAAAATGACTTCTTATTACCTTTGCTGGATCAAGATAATAATATTTTAGGCATAGTGGAAATGTAACCTCTGTAATTTCTGGCAATGTTTTAAACTACTTCTCTTGTTGTTGTGATATTGCACGTTGGGCCCAATGAGGAAAGTAAGAAAGTGTTCTTGTATCAGCTGCAACAGATTTGTGTTGTCCTAGCAATACATTCAGTTTGGGAATTGCCTTCAATTCAATTCAATTGGGAAAGGCACTGGTCACCTTTCTAAAATTAATCACCTGTTTTAATGCAGTTTTGGTTTCAAAAAGTTTTTGGGTTTTTTTTTTTTTGTTTTTTTTTTTTATTTGGTGGATCAATTTGTTTCTATAAGTAAACTTGGTTTCACAAGTTTCTGGATGCTTGATCTCTGAACCAGACCTGCATTTAAGTATGCTTCAATTTCAGTACAAGCTAGGTACAGGCATCCTTGGATCTGAGTCAGAATGTTTATGACCTTGTCATATTTACTACTAAGACAGCTCCATCTGAGACATTTGGTTTCACTTTAATTTTTCTGAATCACTTGGACAAATTCAGTTGTTACATTTTTGTAAGATTTGCTAGTGTAGGGAGAATGACTAAGGAATAGCCCCAAGGAAACAGAAATATTCTCCTACTTCCATTGTTACAGCTAAGCAAATGCTTGACCTTGATTCTTGATAATTTCTTCATTCGTTTTAAGCTCCACATGGACAAAACACAGGTAAAAGTCATGATCTATGTCTGTATTGTAAGTTGGTTACTATGTGAAGACAGATAAGAATGTATTAGAAGCACTAATTTATTACTGGAGTATTTAAAAAATCTATTAATACACAGTCCACAAAAAAAAAAATTTAAATAAATAAGAGAACGTGCTTTAGACTGTATTTTCTGCACTTTAGGGGTCTGTGTTCATTTTAACTAACCCCTCTGATTTGTATTTGAGGAAAGTCCTCTCTGAGAAAAACATCTTTTGACCGAATTGCAATGATTTTTCATTATGTATCTGCCATGTAAGTGTTCTAAAGGTTAAAACTCCGAATTGGTGACAAATTAGCTTTCATTATCTGCTTTAGTCACATCTTGACAAAATTATTCTAATAGCTGCGTCTGCTACAGAAACAAATCCAGTTCCCTGCTCATCACAGAGAGGAAATGTCATCTATCCATCTGAAAATGTAGGTATATTAAACATCACTTTCCCATTTGCAGAAAGCATTTGCAGATATTTGTTTACATTATTGTACTAATTTGAGCAGCTTACCTTTATTTAACTGGCATCAGAAGTGGGGGGCTGAGGGGGTGTGGGGAAGTTTGTAGCAGCCGACAAAGCATGGTGACCCAGCTTGTCACCCAGTGACCTGTGAGAAGGAAATAATGAACTGTGAGTAGCTGTCATCCTAACTGCTTCTGACAGTTTGGCTATGGGCACATCTGTGTTAGTTGCATGGAAAGGCCTTTGTTGTTTTCCCACTAGTGACTTTGCAGACCGCTGTGGGCTTTGCTGGCTGCCCTGCTCCTACAGTTCCCCTCCTTTTTCTGTAGTAACAGCAGCTGCCACTGATAGAGCTGACATTTCTTTTAATGATTTACTTGGCATTTATATCACTAAAGACAAGAAATTAAATTAAAATACAACACTGGGTTATTGTAAATGAAGATATTCTCTAAATCCACACAAGATCTATTATCACTATTCATATAATCATATATGATTATAATACTTATCTGAATAACTTGCAGCAGTATTCAGTGTTTCTTGATACCCCTCCATCCAAATGTTTCGCCATACTTAACTATTTTGAATGAAATACTGAGTTTTATGGTAATAACATTTTAAATAATCCAGTATGCAATGAAACTAGGCAGCTATTCATGGCTAAATTATATATTAAAAAAAAAATAAACAGCAGCCTTGCCCACTTATTTACTGTTAAAGGCAATGATTACTACTGCAGATTGACCAAAAGCTTCAGGTCTTTCCTGGTACAGCAGTGCTAAATCTTGGGTAACTTTGCTCACATTATGACATTTTCAGGTAGGAGACTATTAACTGAAGACATCCCTTCTCTCATAATGGAGTTATTAGCTGATTTGTGAATGATGATTGTTAAGAACAATGTGAAATCATGACTTTTGAAAAATGAATGGCTAAAAAATTGCTTAAAAATGTAAAAATATAAAGCTATTCAAAGGAGTGTAAGTTTTTTGCATACCTTGCAACATACCTTGTTGTAAGTTGCAATATGCTTGGAGGAGGTTGGTAGTAGAGTTGAATATCCAAGACTTCACTCTCTGGACTGAAAGAATACTGTGGTGGAACTGATATCTTTTTACTACTAATTGTTTGGAGGAGTTTAGGTTGTCTTTTTATATTTACACATTCTTTTCTTATTCTCTTTAGCTGGTTCATGCCCCAAGTTCGAGCTGTCTTCAATAGTGTTCACATGCAAGGGAAAAGAGACTTATATTTTACCTGTGAGGACACAGGTTTGTGAATTGCTTCCTTTGAGAGCTGTAGAACTGCGTGCAGCCTACTCTGGAATACAGATCACAGCCTCTTGCCCAAATATTTGGTGCTGGAACCATTGGATGCACACAACAATGGCTCCTGTTGCCCAGTTTGTGCTTCTCACCAACACAATCCTGTGCCCTTTCCTACTTAAAAGCGGTGCAGAGGTTTGTGGTGAACAGGAGGTGTGCACACACAATTCTCTAATACATCATACACAGTTCAGGGAAGCCTTGCAGGTGCCTTCCAACCTGTGGCATTTCTCTGTAGTGTGTGAGAAAACACATCAGTTCCACAGCTCTGCATGAAGCTCTTCAGCTCTACAAGCATTTGTGAGAGGAAGGTGAATGTATTGCCAAAATCTGAAATGATACATTATTATTTCTGGAAGTAAATGAGAGCTCTGGCACAAAAAGCTTTTTTTCAGTCTCACTGAAATCTTTTATTTCTCTTAAGAGGGGTTAATGCCACAGGTGCTGCTTGAAGCCATGGAGTTGCAGAGAAACATCCATCAGATCTTAGAACTTGTTTATTGTTAGCAGAGAAATCACCCTGTTATCTATTTACATGTATTTGTACGCATATAAGATGGTTAAAGGCATTTTTTGTACTAAACTACTGTTAAAAAATAATAATGGTATATTAATACATATTGGAAAGTTGCAGAGATGGTGGGAACCAACTTTTACACATTTTGACTGTTTTATTTGGAAACCCTATCCCTTCTTTTTCAGAGACTTTTAATATTCATTTGAGTTGCATGTCCAATGGACTTAAGGAAACAAAAAAATCCATTTCATTAGGTTTTTTTTGTATGAATTAAGATTGTTATATAAATAATACATTTGAGGGAAAAATGCAACCTTTATTTGCTGGTTGGACACTCATTCATATAAACTTATTTTTTTTGCTATCATTGTCTTAATAGAACAATCTTAACCACCTGTTTCCAGCTTTTCTAAATTAGATGAAAAATTCAATTTATATTAAATTTGCATTAAATTTACATTAAATGTAAAATTTAAGGTCAGCCTTAAATTCCCAAGAAAGAGCAACAATTGCCTCTTTCATCTGTCACTTTTGAAGGGTAAAAAGATAATGAAAATTTTCAATGAAAAATTTACAAGAGGATTTTTTCACAACAACTGGGCACATTTCTACATTGTGTACAAATTAATTTTTTCATATAAAATGCTAACTTCAAAAATTTCCTGTATTCAAAAAATTATGATGATATAATCTGAGGTAATATAAAATTTCAAAAATTTCACAAGGTGAAATGTCTTTCAGTGGCAGTTTTTCATATTTTTACAGGATACAATTCCTCCACAGATAAGTGTATAAGTCTACATGAACTAAAATATGACTTGATTAAGTAGCAGTCCAATTTTTTACCCTCCAAATATTTTTCAGCCTCCAAACAATTTTTCATCATGGTTCTGTACAAAGTCCAATCATGTTCACAATCACTAGTTCAGAGGTAATTTCTTTAAATAGTATGAAATACTCTACTTTTCTTTCAAATTAGCTTCAAATAGGCAAATTCTTTTTAGGTAAATTGTACTTGAAAATTTGAAATCTTCATCCAGGCTCTTCTGTTTACCAAGTACTTATTATCAGCTGATAACAAAAACAAGCTGAGTTAATGAAATTTAATAAAGGAGACCACAGCAGGAACTGAGTCACTGCAAACAAATCTGTGGTTAGCAAAGGTTGCTGCTTTTTTAATGTTTAACTTGTTGGAATAGGAGACAGATGGATAAAAAATGGTTTCCCAGTCAGGTATAAAGCAAGGCACTGCTGAATCCTTACTGATCTGTCAGAATTGAAAGGGATTTATGTGGTGACTCTGGAAGAGAATTACGCTCACAAACAATGTCACCATACTCTTGTCTAAAATGAGTTGCATCCTCAGAATGATCAAATAAATATTAAAATATAAATATTGAGTTGTATCCCCTCATCTCCTGCCAGTCAGGTTTTAGGATTGGGTTTTCTACTCTCACCTTGTTCTGGGATTTGTGGTGCTTTATTATCCAGCAGTGACAACACCAAGTTATTTATTTGCATTTAAAGCAACTCTTTTTGAATATAAAAAAACCTCAAAAACAACACAACCTCACCCACAGATATAGAAAATACTGAAGGGACTTAATTATGAAGAAGGATGGGATGTACAGAGTACAAAATAACTAAACAGTAAATAAATTTAGGAGTAGTGCACAAACACCCTCTCCTGAGGGGTTTTATGCAAGTGTGGGGTGTTTTCTGTGTGTTTGGATTTGTATTTTTTTCAAAATAACATTTTGTTTCTGGATAAAGTGATTAAGAGAGAAGAAGTGTGTTTATTCTCAGCTTATATATTGAAGTAAACATATCTTATTATCCAGATAGAATTTAATTGATGAAGGTAAAAGATAAAATTTATCCTAAATTACAGAAAAAATTTAGTTATTAGATTGAAAAATAGTTATATCACCCTTTTTTCTTGCTAAAAGTCTGTGTATCTGGAAGTGACAGTGAAACTCTGAGGAACTGGACTGTATTTCTTTTGAGATAGAGCTTTTAAATGCAACAGATGGGATTTGGGTTGGCTTTGGTTTTTTGGTGGGTGTTTTCCTTCTGATGGTATGTGAAAACTCTGAGACTTAAAGGGAAAAAAGGTTAGAAAATGTGTCAGTGACTGAAATGGAGAGATAGGTTTATAATGCAGTACGTGACAAAAGAATTTTAAAAGAAGGCTTCAAGCCAGCAATCCTCATATCAGTGAAAAGTCTTGGGATATTAAAATAGAGAAATGCTGTTTTACTCACTTATCTCGTTACACCGAGCATAACCCCCACAAACACCCTGACAAAGTTAAAACTGACAAATGCACAACCAATCTTCCCACTCCCAAAGACAGGAAAATTAGTTCTGTGCTGTTGGAGCACAACTTGAGGCTTCTGCAACAATAATAGAGATTAATTTGTAATTGTGTAATTTGTAATTGCCCCCTGCTCCTCCAGCCATCTGTAGATGATGGAAAAGGGTGTGAATGGAGGTGAGCTGGGAGGGAAACCAAAGACAGGCTGAGATTTCCCTCCCTGCCATGTGTGCTCTGTGCTCCCCTAGTCATATCCTTAAAATAACAAAAATTAGAGAAAAGAAAGGGGTAACAGTCATATTAAAAATATTTTTCAAAGCACAGAATTGTTTTCTACAGTATCTTCTACATTACCTAATTCCTTTTTAAAGGACTGAAGGAATGAGACTTCTATCACTTCCCTTGGGGGTGTCTTTTCTGCAGTATAATAATCATCTTCTCTGTTAGGAATATTTTTTCTGACATTCAGCCAAAAAGTATTGTCTGCTCAATTTACTCCCATCACTCCCTTTGTACTACATAGCTTTGCACCTTTCCAATATTTTTGATAGGAATTTATCCCTCTCAGTGCAATGGTGAAGTTTAGTTTAGTTGTACGTGGTTATTTTGCAAACCTGTTTAATGAGGAATGCCTCTGTCTAAATTGCTTGCAATACCTTGGCTCTCCTCATTTCCAGGGGAATCTTGTGTTTCATTCCACAGGTGTTTCCACCAGGAAAAGGTTTGTATTCTGAAATACCAAGAAGTTTGCATTCTGAAATACTCTAACCCCTTTTTTTTTCTTTTTTTGCACTCCAACTCACATCCCTTTTCTTTTAAACTGTAAGTTTGTTTGAGAGACAATTCTGATATTTAGAACTTTAACAGAAAATGCTTTTTTTATTAAAAAAATCTCAGGTTTCCAAATACACTTGGAACATGTAGGATCCAAAATTCAGTACTCTGAAGTGGGGTCAGCACTCTTATGAACATCTTGAATGAGTTTTCAGTAGGACACTATGGGATCTTAAACATTTGCATGATATTCAAAGTGAATGGTAAAAGGTAAGGACTGGCAAATAATTGTAAAACCTCTTAATAAAAACAGTGCAGGTCTTTTTAATAGGCCTGGGCCTATATTTTGTTGTAATGCCATTCAATAACATCTTTAGATAAACTGGACTGTTTTTCTTTTAACATAAACTTTGGCCTTAGCATATCTTGTTTTTCTGACCATGACTTCCTATGAGAGAACTGTACATACAAGCAGAGTATTCCTAGTGCAAACTCATTTATTACAACTCAAGGTTTACAACTTTAGGTTTGTGTCAACATAATAGTATTTTTTAATTTCCCTCCACACTGAAGAAAAAAACCCACTGATGAAAGCCTAATTTCTGCTTTAATTTCAATGCTGGTGTATCTATCACAGTATTGCAAATAACACTTTACCACAGAAAACCACTCAGAAATTATATCATGGGTATTTTTATTTGTTTTTTAATAACTTTACTTTCTGGTCATAAAGAATTTGCCACAGCTACATGGAACAAAGCTAAGAATAAAAATATGAGTTTCTTTCTCTTCTGTAAAATAATATCAGGTTTTCCCCAACTTTAGGAATTTCAACATTTCTTTTTTGTTGTTGCTGTTGACCAATATCATTACAGCTATTTATAAATATATTAAAGTTAAACTGTGCTTTCAGATGCACTTTTGATTGCTAGAGTATGGAATTTTATTTAAAATTTTTCTTCTTTCAGCTTAGTATTATGAGCTTCAAAATAATACTAGCTGTTTGCTTTCAGATAAAGCTTAGTTTAGTGCTCACTGAATTATCTATTTTTTTTATCATTTGCATCCCACTTTGCAAGTGGTTAATTTATTTGCTTACCAGCAGAAACTCTTGGCAGTAATAACCAACTGCCAATGTGAAGATGGTAAGTTAAAAATTTTAAAATGGGACAGCTAAGACTCCATTTGAATCTGTTTCCCAAAAAAAGCATAGAAATTGTTTTTTACTTAATTATATATCTTAATTTTCATCAATGAAAACCACTTTAAATAAGATAGAGGTTTTATAGTTTAATTATACTAATATGAATTGATAATGAAATTGGAAGTACAAATATTTTAATTTTGCCAGACCTCCATAAATATTGAAGATGGAAGTAAAAAAAAAAAAAAATAAAAAAAAAAATTAGCCAAACAAGAAAGCTATCAGAACTTTCTTTTTGAACTCTGTGGCATTCATTTTTAAAACACATTTTTCACAGTGGAGCTTTTATTCCTTTTTCATTTGACTTTGCCAGTAGGGACCTCTGTTCAGTGTTTCATCCAAAGAAGACACCTTTGACAGTGTGGTTGCTCTTCCCCTACGAGCACTGTGCCTCTGTGTCATCACTGAATTAGAGCCTAAGTTTTTATGTTGTCCTTCAACCCCTGACCTCGTGGCCCAGAGGCAGGAATATTACCAGCACAGCTATGCTGGGGCAGAAAGCAGAGCGCACGCAAAGATGAAACAGTCTGGAACCAGCAAAATCCAACCAGCTCTCTGTATTTTCCTCTGCTTAA